TCGATCTCTTGACCTCGTGATCCACCCGCCTCGGCCTCCCAAAGTGCTGGGATTACAGGCTTCTTCATGCCTTTTTAACTAGAATACTGGGCCTTGAAATTGGCCATCCCACCTCCCATCTCATATCACGTTCATTAGTCATTTATTGCCAAGTAACAAAATTGTTTCAAATTGTAGCAGCTTACAAAATTGACCAAATTGTAGAGGTCATAACAGGCATTTATGACCTTACAGAGTCTTTGAGGGTCAGTAATCTGGCTTTGGCTTAGTGCAGTGGAGTGATTTAGCTTGGTGGTCTGTTTCTCATGAGGTTCGAGCAGCTGGCTAGAGCTGCGGTCTCCGAACTCTTGACTAGGACTAAAGGATCTATTTTGATGTTCGGTCATGTGGCAAATGGCAAAAGGTTTTATTTCCTTGCCACTGAACCTTTCTGTAGGGCTGGTCGTGGCATGGCAGCCAGCTTTCTCTAGAGTGAGGAAGGCAGGGGGTGGGGGCTGAGGGAGGGAGATTGACCAGGATGGAAGCGGCAGTGTCTTTAGAGCCTCGTCTTGAAAGTGACATATTATCACTTATGTTGGTCATGCAGAGCAACCCCGGCACACAGTGGGAGGAGAACCAGACAAGACTTTGAAGGCTGGGAGGTGGGGTGCATTTGGTACCATGTTGGAGGTCCCTTTAACCCAACTTTTCCATCATTTGTCCTTGCCCTTCAGATCCAGTCCAGACTCCTTATCATAGCACTTAAGGTTCTTCATGCCTGACCTCAGACAAAAATGCCCCCTTTCATTTATTCATTCAGAAACTCAACACGGCCAGGACTGCTGGCTCACACCTGTAATCCCAGCACTTTGGGATGCTAAGGCGGGAGGATTGCTTGAGACCAGGAGTTTGAGACCAGCCAGGGCAACATAGTGAGACCTTGGCTTTACAAAAGTTAAAAAGTTAACCAGGCATGTGGTGGCCCATGCCTGTAGCCCCCCAGCTACTCTGGAGGCCGAAGAGGGAGGATAGCAGGAGCCCAGGAGTTCCAGGCTGCAGGAAGCTGTGATTGTGCCGCTGCACTCCAGCCTGGCGGCAGAGTGAGACTGTCTCCTAAAAACAAACAAACAAAAACCAAAAAAAACTCAACAAGTGTTTTTAACATGACCATATTTTAGACAGTGGAAACAGATTAAAATCTTTCTACTTGGGGGGTTTTACAGTCTCATGAGGGGACACAGGAAACAACAAATAAATAAATATGTAAGTGGCATAGTGATGTAAAAGTATATAATATAGTAGACATTAACATTCTTGGCCATCAGAAGATGATAACTACCGTCTAGGGAGAAAATAGATTGGAGTAAGAAGGATCAGGGTGTTCTTCGGTGGAAGTCTGGTTTGCAATTATTTTTTTGATTTGCAATTTTTAAAGACCTTAGGGTAGGCCACTAAGTGGGAGACAGTTAAATACAAATTGAAAGTGGTGAGGACCTGCACCATGTGGGTGTGTGGGGAAGAAGCTCACAAAGGCCCTGAGGTGGGTGTGCATCTGGTGAGTTCACAGACCAGCAAGGAGGTCAGTGTGGCTGGAATGGGGTGAATGACGAGCAGAGGAATAGGGATGTGAGGTTGGAGGAGCTGTGGGGAAGGGAATATCAGGTTCAGGGACCTTATAAGGTCACGGGAGACTCTGAGTGAAGTGCAGAGGAGTCACGACTTTACATTTGTAAAGACCCACTCTGACACCGTGCTAAGAATTCAGCTAAGGGGTCAGAGAGTGAAGCAGAATACCCTGTTAGGAAGTTACTGTAAGAATCCAGGTGAGATACGGCAGAGGATTGGCCAAGGAGGTGTGAGGAAGGATATGATACCTGGTACTGCAATTATTACTCTCAAATCAGGTGTGAGGAAGGAAATGGTACCCAGCTGCTGCAATTATTACTATCAAATCAGGTGTGAGGAAGGAAATGGTACCCAGCTGCTGCAATTATTACTATCAAATCAGGTGTGAGGAAGGAAATGGTACCCAGGTACTGCAATTATTACTCTCAAATCGGGTGTGAGGAAGGAAATGGTACCCAGGTACTGCAATTATTACTCTCAAATCTTATTTCTTTTCAATGTTGTGCTACTTGTTGATGGCTCCCATGTTACTGAATGACACACCCTAAGAAGAAAATCCATTTTGCTAGTACCGATTGATCAATAAAGGATTCTTTATACCTTAGGGTTAAATTACTTGTTAATTAAAATTTCTGTAGCTAAAGGCTCTCTTTGGAAAGTGTTGGTTATTTGAGGGTCTGATATTGCACAGTTTTTGACTTCCCCTGTCCCTTCGAACGAGAGGGAAATACAAGCGTAGTTACTTGTGTATGCAGTTGTGGTACCTGGTGTTGGAAGCTGTATGGAGGAGGCGAGAGCGTTGATCATAACTCACTGACTTTGTAATTAAACTCTCTTTTTATTAAAGCTGAAATTCTTAAAGGCCCCTGCCTGTGTGGGACTGGAAATTATTTATCATAGAAATTGTCTGCTTTGCTATAAAAATGTTGATATATTATTCTGTTCATGAGATCTAGACACTGTTTTTAAAAAAAATGTCTCTAGCTATAGATGTGCAGACATCATATGAACTTCTTTCTAATGTCAAATTTATTGAACTCTCTGTGTGTGTGTGAGACTAATGTCTCAACCTTTTTTAAAAAAATTTTACTTATTTGTTATGATGATAGCTGTGGCCTTGTAAAAATAAAATAAAATAAAATGTTTACTTATTTGAAGCACCGAGTGGGTGTTTCAAACTCACAAGAGTGGTTTGGGATCAAAAAAAAGTATATAAGAGAACATATTTCTTTGCCAAGTCCAGTCCATTTCATTCTGTGTCCCAAGCACTCCAGTGAATGCAGCAGCCATCAGTTAAATAAACAAGTATTTCTACTGGTGGCAGCAGCCTCAGTATGCTTACATCCACCATGCTACTCTCTACCGAGGGACTTCTGCTGATGGAGCCTTAGTTGAGATTACCTAGACAGTTTTTTCTTCTATGTGGAGCCAATTACCATGTAATA